GAAAATACCTACAAATTTTAACCACATTATAATCTATTAATTTAAATTTAAAAAAAAGAAATAGCTATTTTACTAGTTAAAAACCAATTTAATTCATTGCATAACCTGACTTACCTACAAATTGCAAATAAATAATAAGAATTTTATTTGTGAAATCTAAAGGGTCCTCCTTTTATGAATCTTTCTTCGCATCCATAAGGACAACAGTATTCGACTATTTTTATTGTTCAAAACTTCAGGAAAAATCGTCCCGGAATCACGTCTAGGGTATCTGCGCACCTGGAAAGTCATGAATTTCGATATTGAACAAAATTAATCATGAAATTTCTTGATATAAACTATTTTTTTAAAAAAAAAAGATCATGGAAAGTCACGGATTTAGGTCGCCGAAAAATCTTAATTTTTAAAATTGAATTACCCCCCATCAATTTCATGGTATTCCGAATATCTGAATCCCCACTCACAGTCATACTTTATTAAAATATAAAATGTTTTTATCTTGTTCTTTAAAAATCATGGCGTTCTTTAAAAAAACTGAAAGAAAAACATTTCTAGAGCGAATTATCTTTTAAACCACTGTGATTTCAGAATTTTTGTTATTATTTTATTTTATCAATTTAAAATTCTAGCTGAGGCAAGCCAATTGTTGGCGAATTTTTTATATTTTTTATTCCGAAATGAGAACAGAAAAATCAGGAGTATTTCTTTTCAATGAGCAAGAAAATTATCTTTAGAATATAATTCTGCAGAAAGAAAAAAATGATTTGCGTTTGTATTTTCTTCAGCTATTTTATTGCTTCAACTCTTTCCTTTACTCATGTTTCTTAATTTTAAAATCTATAAATATGAAGATGCAGAGTATAACAGTTTTTATCTATCATTTCAATGAATGTTATTATGATACTTTTTTTAAATGTATTGTTGTGTTTTGTCGGAGAAAATAGTAACATCCTTAAGTCATGAAAAATTCTTGGAATTAGTCATAGAAAATCNATTATCTTAAGAATATAATTCTGCAGAAAGAAAAAAATCATTTCAATGAATGTTATTATGATACTTTTTTTAAATGTATTGTTGTGTTTTGTCGGAGAAAATAGTAACATCCTTAAGTCATGAAAAATTCTTGGAATTAGTCATAGAAAATCATGAGAAGTCGTGGATTTGAAAATCTAAAATGTAGCAGCACGTGACAACGTTTTTTGCGTCAAGGAAAGGGGGAGTGGTTCTGTACGTAAATCACTCCCCGTTTCCTTTTTTTTCCGCCCCGCCCAGTCCTCAAGAGTTAATGTTAAGCTTCAGTCTATGGCCTTGATTTAGATGACATTTTACGGAATGCTTTGAAGTGCATTTAACAATAAAAGAAGAAAAGAAAAAAAGCTTGACATTATTTATATTTAAACATTATTTATATTGCGAATATTTTTTTTTATTTAGGAATTGAAAACTGTTAAGAAGAATAAATATGTTTCCTAAAGAAAACTTCCAAAATTCATTTAGAGAGGAGAAATACAGTCAAACCCCGCTATAGTGAATGAAATATTCGGTCCCATGTCTCTCTATACACGTATAATGTAATTTTTTGCGGATATAGTGAACGGAGGAAGTTGGATATTATGAACTTTTTTGTCTTCGACTGATTTTTTTTTGAAATTTTTTTTTGAAATGTCTATTTCAAAATAAATACTTATTTCAAATTAAATACTTTTTTATAACCATCCATAGAGTGGTTAGTAGCGATGAGCATTTTTTTTCCTGTGTGCTTCTTTTATCACAATTTTCCATCCCTAAACAAAGTTCTACCCAGGCATTCCCTGAATCAGCTTAAGATTACTAATATTTTTTTTTTTTTTGGTGCACAAGACTAAGAGTAATAAAAAATAAAAGCAAGTTAACACATTTTTTGTTAATACGTTTTATTTTTCAGTCATTTTTGTATTCTATTTTATTGGTCATTTATTTGAATAGTGTATAATCAGGGATCTGTATAGAAGAAATTTGGGTCCGTTAATGGACCCTTCACAAAATATCTTTTCATAAAAACGGACCCTTCACAAAATATTTTAACTTGAAAACGGACCCTTCACAAAATATTTTAACTTAAAAACTGACCCTTCACAAAATATTTTAACTTTATATACTCAAAGTATTTTAACTTTAAACCAAATATTTGCGTGTTGCATCTCTAATTTAGAAGCAGCAATTGTTGTTTATTTTTTAAAATTTAATTTTTTTTAATTATAATTTTACAGTGTTGAGCATAATCTTGTATGTCTTTACAATTTCAAAACTCCTTGAAAAAAAATTTTTGTTGCAATAACGGACCCTATTTGCACAAATTCTTAAAAGCGGACCCTGGTTGAAAGAATGTGAGTAATTTTTTCACAATTTCACGAAAAACGGACCTTTCACAAAATGTCTGGACAGACCCCTGATAATAAAAAGGAGTGGGGAACCATTAATTAAAATTCTTTGCGGAACGGATATAGTGAACTCCCGGTTATAGTGAAGCGAAATTTCGGTCCTTAGTTCACTCACTATAACGGGGTTTGACTGCATATGCTTAATATCCTTAAATTTTTTTTTTTTTTTTTGAAGAAAATTAAATGAAATACATCGTCATTTTATTGTCATTAGTCCTGGTCATTTTATAGCATTGTGCATCGAAAAAATTTACTATGATAATAAGGATATCAGC